TTAGACACTAGTACTTATTCATTAGATACTACAATACCATTAGATACTGGTACCAATTCATTGGATACTAGTACTCATTCATTAAATACTAGTACTCAGTCATTAAACACTAGTACGCAGTCATTAAATACTAGTACTCATTTAGTAGTTACTGGTACTTATTCATTAGAAAATAGTTTCTATTAATTAGGTACTAGTACTCATTCTTTAGACACTAGTACTTATTCATTAGATACTACAATACCATTAGATACTGGTACCAATTCATTGGATACTAGTACTCATTCATTAAATACTAGTTCTAATTAGGGCTGCACGATAAATCGCATGCGATATTTAACGCGCATCTTATCAGTAAAGCCGGTTCTGTAATCAGCGGTAAATCTCCATCACATGCGGGCTTTCATATTGAGCAGCATTAACTACACAGAGCCGTTGTTCACTGACGAGCTGCGCAAAACCACGTTCATATTCGCGCAATTTTTTGCACAGCTCGTCAGTGAGCAAACGGCTCTGTGTAGTTAATGCTGCTCAATGTGAAAGCACGCACGTGATGGAGATTTACCGCTGATTACAGAACCGGCTTTACTGACAAGATGCACATTAAATATTGCATGCGATTTATCGTGCAGCCATAGTTCTAATCCATTAAATACTAGTACTCATTCATTAAATACTAGTACTCATTTAGTAGTTACTGGTACTTATTCATTAGAAAATCGTATCTATTCATTAGGTACTAGTACTCATTCTTTAGACACTAGTACTTATTCATTAGATACTACAATACCATTAGATACTGGTACCAATTCATTGGATACTAGTACTCATTCATTAAACACTAGTACTCATCCATTAAATACTAGTACTCATTTATTAGTTACTGGTACTTATTCATTAGATACTACAATACCATTAGATACTGGTACCAATTCATTGGATACTAGTACTCATTCATTAAACACTAGTACTCATCCATTAAATACTAGTACTCATTTATTAGTTACTGGTACTTATTCATTAGATACTACAATACCATTAGATACTGGTACCAATTCATTGGATACTAGTACTCATTCATTAAACACTAGTACTCATCCATTAAATACTAGTACTCATTTATTAGTTACTGGTACTTATTCATTAGAAACTAGTACTCCTTCATTAGACACTAGTACTTATTCATTGAATACTAGTATACTAGTACTTAATTAGATACCAGTACCTCTTAAATATATATTAGTACTTATTTGAATAGCGACTAGTAACTATTCTGTTGTTACTGGTAACACATTTCATATTCTATCTGTTGACTTCTATATGGATCTGTCATTCAGGTATCAACTATTCAGTTCTGACTAGTATGTATTCCAATAGTGACTACTAGTATCTTTTTAAGTATTAATTAGATACTAGTACTTATTTATTAAAAACTATTAGTTACACTTTATTTTAAAGTCTGATTCTCACTATTAAGGAACTATCAGTTATGATTTTGCCTCAATAAACTCCTAATTACTGCTCATTAACAGTTAATAAAGTAGTTGTTAAGTTTAGGTATTGGGTAAGATTCAGGGATGTGGACAATGGTTATGCAGAATATGTGTTTTGTAAGTACTAATAAACAGCCAATATTCATGCTAATAAGCAACTAGTTAATAGTGAGAATTGGTCCCGAAACTAAAGTGTTACCACTATTACTTGTGATTAGATACTAGTAGTTAATCATTAGGTATAGAATACCTGTGTCACGAATCCGGTCCATGAACTTTCCTTTTCATTGACTCTCGCACCACACAAACTGTTGCATAGCACCCCGGACTACATTTCCCATCATGCATTTGTTGTTATTGCTACTCATAACAAATCTTATTATGCTAGTCAAAAGTTAGTAGTAGCTAGTAAATGATAAGCAGCAGCTAATAAATAAGCACTAGTACTTAATGGAATAGATACCAGTTGCTAACAAAATAAGCATTAGTCGCATTAAAATAGATACTAGTACATTTTAGGGATTAAATGTTAAAATAGCTTGGGTAGAGATGCTAGTTAGGGTAACACTTTATTTTAGGGTCTCTTAACTAGTTGCTTATTAGCATGCATATTACTAGAATATTAACCATTTATTAGTAGTAATTAAGCACATATTAATGCCTTATTCTACATGATCTTATTCTACATTCCTAATCCTACCCAATAACTAAACTTAACAACTACCTTACTAACTATTAATAAGCAGGAAATTAGGAATTTATTGAGGGAAAAGTCATAGTTAATAGTGAAAAAGTGTTCCCTATTCTAAAGTGTTACCCTAGTTAGACACATTTAAGCTCACCTAATGTGACATTGTGATAAAAGAAATCTAATATGATTGAGTTTAATATTTTACCAAGTATTTAAAGACCTATATGATGGGTAGATGAACACTTACAGAGTTCAAGTCACACCAGGACAGAAGTGAAAGTGTCTAAGTAAAACAAAATGTCTAATTATCAGCTCTGAAAAGGGTTATAAGAAAGTTGACCGCTTTAGTCAT